CTCAAGGCTCTTGAAACGCAGACCTCTAACTAGCAATGTTGGCCCTTGGGGCAAATGGCAACCCTCCGCCGATTTGCCCCAAGAAAAAGAGGGAGGAAAAAGTGTCCCTCTGCCCCTCCCCCCCGAAAAGGAAGATAAAATTTATGCTTCGGAAGAGTGGAGGGTGAATTGGGCCGGGATATTATTTTCTTCGCATTCATCAGATGATTCTGCCCTGGATTTCAGTGCCCTGGGGCAAAGTCCCAGTTTCTGCATCCTCCTGAAAAGTCAAAACAGGGGACAAGGCTGCTCTTGAGCCTATGCAGAGTGTGTCACCACAGTAACCCTAACATCCCAAGCAAGCTCATTACAGTTTAGAAACGAGCCAGCTATTTTAGGGGGACCCAAAATTCCTGGTCAAGGCTTGCCTTTCACAGCATCCTCTCTCTTGCGACCCTCACAGCATTGGTTGAGGCTGCTGCTGGTTCTGGTTGGTGGCCTGGAAAGTGAAATGCAAGTCTGTGAAAGACAGGCAAGAACTGGGTTCCAAAGGGGACACAAAGGGGGCTCTGACCTTTGGTAAGAAGATGGGCAGAAGTAGGTTGGCCTGAGGTGGAGCAGTGTCCCATTTGTCCTAAGGTTTGGCCTCCTCTCCCCACTCCCAATATGCATCATCCAGGCAAATGGTATCCAGTTGCTGATCAGAACTACAAATAGCCATTTTGTATGCCACTGGCAGGCTAAACCCCTTCTCGGTGTACTGCAAACTGTCATGTGGAACAGGAATGAGGAATATACAGTCGAAAATATTGGCACCCTTGCCATTCTGTCAGAAAATGCAACTCTTCTCTCAGAAAATTGTTGCAGTTGCAAATGTTTTGGTACTCACATGTTCATTTCTTTGGTTGGCGTTGGAACAACACACACACACACACACAAAACTGAAGAAAAGTCAAATCTGATACAATCCCACACAGAAACCCCAAAATGCACTGGCTAAAATTACTGGCACCTTTAACTTAATATTTGGTAGCACCCCCTTTGGAAAAAAAATAACTGAAATCAATCGCTTCCTGTAACTATGAATGAGTTTCTTACATCTCTCTACTTGAATTTTGGCCCACTCTTCTTTTGCAAACTGCTCCAGGGCCTTCAGATTTGAAGGATGCCTTCTCCCAACTGTGCTTTTAAGATCTCTCCACAGGAGTTCTGGGATTCAGATCTGGACTCATTGCTGGCCATTTCAGAACTCTCCAGCACTTTGTTTGTAACCATTTCTGGGTGCTTTTGGAAGTGTGTTTCAGGTCATTGTCCTGCTGGAAGACCCATGACCTCTGGTGGAGACACAGCTTTCTGACACTGGACACTATGTTGCGCCCCAAAATCTTTGGTAATCATCATATATAGTTCACGCAGTCAAGGCATCCAGTGCCAGAAGCAGCAAAGCAACGCCAAAATATCTTCGAACCTCCACCATATTTGACTGTAGGGACTGTTTTCTTTTCTTTGAATGCCTCATTTCTTTTTCTGTAAACAGTGCCATGATGTCCTTGACCAAAAAGCTCTACTTTTGTCTCATCTGTCCACAGTACGTTCTCCAAGAATGATTGTGGTTTTGTCACATACGTTTTAGCATACTCCAGTCTTGCTTTTTTATGCCTTTGTGTCAGCAGTGGTGTCTTCCTGTGTCTCCTGCCATAGCATCCCTTTTCATTCAGATTGCAATGGATAGTGCAAGCTGACACTGTTGTACCCTGTGTCTGCAGATCAGCTTGAATTTGTTGGGAAGTTAATCTGGGTTCTGTATCCACCATTCGAACAATAATTTTGCATTTCCGTCCATGTCCAGGGTGGTTAGCTGCAGTGCCATTGGCTTTAAACCTCTTGATGATATTGCACACAGCTGACACAGGAACATTAAGATAATCCACCATTCGAACAACCCTTTGTTGTAATTTTTCAATAATTTTGCATTTCCATCCATGTCCAGAATGGTTAGCTACAGTGCCATTGGCTTTAAACATCTTGATGATATTGCACACAGTGGACACAGGAACATTAAGATATCTGTAGATGGACTTGTAGCCTTGAGATTGTCGATGTTTTTCCACATTTTTTTCTCTCAAATCCACAGACAACTCTTTACAATTCGTTCTCTTCTCCATGCTCAGTGTCACACACAACACGAAGGTTGAGTCAACTTTTCTCCATCTTAACTGGTTGCAAGTGTGATTACTATATTGCCCACACCTCTTACTTGCGACAGGTGTGTATAAATACAAATTAAAGGAGTATCACATGCTTGGAAAGCCATTATTTCTTAGAATTTACACAGGGTGCCAATAATTCTGGCCAGTGCATTTTTCAGTTTCTGTGTGGTATAGTATCAGATTTGACTTTTTGTCTCTGTTTCTTTGTGTTGTTCCAACGCCAACCAAAGAAATGAACATGTGAGTATCAAAACATTTGCAACTGCAAACACTTTTCTGAGAGAAGGGTTGCATTTTCTGACAGAACTGTAAGGGTGCCAATATTTTTGGCTATGACTGTATGCTCCTCCAGATGTTGCTGAATTCCATTTCCCATCAGCCATGTTGAGGGCTGAAATCTTGCGGCATCTAGAAAGCCACACTTTTCCCATTCTTCATCTGGAAGATTGCTTTTACTCCAATTTAAGTGGGTTCCCACAAGAATAGTCCCAAGAAAATGACTACAAAAATAACCCTACTTAAAGCACCAGCTTGAGCCAGAGATGCTGAGGTGGGGGAGGTAATTTCCTCTAGACTTCTGCAAAGCAAGGAACTCTATATCACCCGAACACATTGACTGCATCTGATTTTAGGAGCTAAGCAGACTCAAGCTTAGGTATTTCTTGGACCATCAGAGGGTACCAGTCATCTCCACTGGGTAAAGAAGAAGGAACGAAACCTGCATAAAATCCCAAAGAACTGCTGTCATTCAGTGTTGATGTTTTGCAGCAAAACTGGACCAGTGGTGTGGATCATCTGAAGGCAGCTTCCTCTGTTCTTTGCTCATGTGTCTCAGTCCTGCCCAATCGCTTAGCAGAACCTCACTTGTCTAGAGCCATAAAGCCTCTGGGACAGTCCTGTGTCAAGTGTGGTTGGTTCTACTTGGGAACTAGTTCCCACAGAAGGTATGGGAGATATGAACCAAAGCAGCTCACTGAGGTGGACCAGGAAGTCTATATGCAACAAAAAGACAAGTGCCTCTCCTTCCTCAAGTAATCCATTTATTTTTAACCACTAGTTATGTATATCTACTATCCAACAGCAAAAGGGGTTGACAAAACTACTGAAACCCACAAACATAAGCAAGCTTTCAACCTTGCACAGTCCTTCATTGGGATTGGCACCACAGAGCTGGGGCTGGTGCAGAAGAACAGCCACCCCAGAACTCAAGGCCAGATATGCCTTAAGCAAGTTTTCAAAATGGGGGCAACAGGGTCAGGGGAGGGGTGTAGTTTACAGATTCTTCCTCTGGTGGTGTGGATTAGGAAGTCTCTCCCAATCTTAATAGACAAAGAATGGGCAGCCATTCAGTATTCCTCCCACTCCCATGGCCCTATATCAAAAGACATGGTTCCCTTTTGGCAGTAAATAACAGCTTAATATGTACACAATAGTTGCGGCTTTGCAATAATCCTGTCAGAAGACCCTGCAGATCCTAAAGGAGAGTAGAAGGCTGAGGTGAACATGTTTTTAAGGTACACTTTAATCAGCTTCCTTTCCCATCCCTTGCCCCTGGTCATCTACATGGGTGAACCAAAGCGACAAAGAGATAACACCATTTACTGTACCTGGGCTAACTGCACACAGTTTGATACCACCCTTATGTGTAATGACTCCATTTTACACAATCCCGTGATTTGTTGTATGGTAAAGCGGACAGAATTCTCTGTTAGAGAGCTCTAGTGCACTCTTCCTGAACCACAGCAGACAATTCTATGTATCTTACCAAAGTACAAATCCCAGAATTTCTTAGGATGAAGCTATGGCAGCTAAAC